ACCACAGTTTTAAGTGCTATTAAGTAGTTTTAACTATGCCCTTTAAAAATTATACCAATAAATAAAATATACCTGAATTATTATGTTTTTGTTTTGTTTCATTTTTGGTGTTGGGTGTGGAATCCAGGGCTTTGCACATGCCAGGCAAGAGCTCTATTACTGAGGTACCTTCTCAGCCTTTGCCTTATATCTTTAAACAGCTTAAAGTATTTCATAGTTTGTCTTTACAGAATCACTGTCAAATTTCTTCTCTTTATTAACCCATTGTAATTATATTCCTTTATTAATAAGGATCATTCTAAAAAATTAATTATAAGATCTTTTTTTACATACTGAACATGTCTAGAGCTGGACAAGATTCTTTAGTGGCTTTGGAAGAAGTACATGATATGGCCCTCTGATCTCAAAAACTTTCAAGTGTAAAGGCAAGAAATGCATTTCTGAAATAACAAGGTAAAAACATAAGCAAAATGAATCCAAGTGATAAATTATGAGACTGAAGGCTAAAATTAGAGAAGTCGGGCTGGGCTTGTAGCTTAGTAGCAGAGCACTTGCCTAGTATGTGTGAGGCACTAGGTTAGATCCTTAGCACCACATAAAAAAATAAATAAAATAAAGGCATGCTGTCATCTACAACTACTAAAAAAAAAAAAGAAGAAGAATAGAGAGGTCGTGACTGGGGCTGTTGCTCAGTGGTAGAGCACTTGCCTAGTATGTGTGAGGCCCTAGGTTCGATCCTCAGTACCACATAGAGGTTAATAAATAAGATAAAGGTATTGTGTTGAAGGAGGAGAAGGAGGAGGAGAAAGAAGAGGAGGAGGGGAAAGGTGGAGGAAGGAGAAGAGGAAGAAGGAGAGGAAGAAGAGGAAGAAGAAGAGGAGGGAAGAGGAGGAGGAGGAAGAGGAGGAGGAGGAGGAAGAATAGGTCAGTGTAGGTTGAATTTGTTAAGAATTTGACCTGAGTTTTGAGGTGATGTGATAAGTGTGTGACATTTGATCTTGACTTGAAGGATTGGTAGATGGACACATAAACAAAATAAATAAAGCCTTGGCTGAAAAACATGGGTAAATTTTCTGAAATTGAGAATATCTAATGCAAATCACATTAAAAATGCTTAAAATTATTTATTAGCTAGCATGAACTATTAATAGCCAATTAATGCAACTTGCTGTGATTATCATTCACTTTTAAAGAGCTCATTGTCCTCAAACTTTTTATAAATAAAAATGAAGACATCTTAAAATTTTTGAAGATTATGGAGAGAAGCAGATTCCTATCTCCTCTGAATTCTCAATAAGATTGACTACAAAAGGAAAGTTATTTTTGTCAACATGTCTATGCAAAAGAAAACATGCTTTCAAAATGCTTTAATTTGTGATTTATGACTCTAGGTCAATAAATTGAAATCACTATTTTTATTTATTATTTTAAATGGTGTAACTAAGATGTGAAGGAAAGCTGTACTAATGCTCTACATGTTAAACAAGAAACTAGATCGAAAATCTAAAAATTTGTACAATATAATATAACTTTTGTGCTAATTTGCTAGTTACCAAAAAAAGATAGCATAGTTATCACTTTTTTATTGTGAACTTGATGTAGAGCTAGAGTAGGGAAATATTTTATGTTCCTCAGTTCATTAGGCTTGAGAAGAGACTCTTATTGAAGTTCAGTGCATATAGGCATATAGCCTCTTTTATCTGCAGTAGTGTGGACAGGCTGGAACAGCAGTCATGAAGAGAGATTACTTCCAAAACTGACTCTGAACCATGTGCAGTACAAGCAGAATACTCCAGAAGACACAGCCACTTTCTTACTTTCTCATTCATTTGAGAATAAAAAAAAAAGAACAGAAAAGAAAAAAGAAGGAAAAAGGAAAAGTTAATCTGGATATTTCAAGTAGAATCCTTTTCTTAAAGTTTCTGAGACTTCCTTATTTTTATTTTTGGCAGAACAGATGTTCATATCTTTGAAAGATCCAGAGAATGGTGAATGAAATTAGAAAATCAATATGTAAAATTTTGCCTACTCTTAAGAAGAAATTATATTTATTTTTTTTTAAAAAAATATGAATAGCTAAGAGAAATAATTAAAATTTCTCTTTTGGGATTTTGAATAAATAAGTTTGAGTCATAGTTTGATAGCAATTTTTATTAGTGATATAGAATTAATCCTTTATTTGTTGTCTAAGATAGAAATGTAGAGTGCTAACCCTGTATCTGTATCTGCATTTATGTTTTACAGATTGCTTAATTCAACATTGAATGTGAATAGGTTATTTGTCCATTTAGCATTTTGAAGCGTTCAAGTTCTGAAAAATTCTTTTCTACATGCCCATCTTTGTCAGAGGTGCTTGACAATTGTGATAAGAGAATTCTAGATAAATTTGTAGGCTATGTTTTACTGATAATGTAATCTGTTGTCTAAAAATAAAACAAGCTTAATTTTTCCTGTTTTACATTAACTTGAAAAAAAATAATGTTCTACAGATGACTTTGCCTTTAACTGTGTGTGTTTACAATCAGAGAAACATCATGAGGTGAATGTTCAAATTTACTTTCAAGTTATATATTCTTAATTTTTTTTTTTTTTTTTGGTTGTTGGTTGTTTGGTTTTTAGTTACGGTGGTCAAACCCAGGACATTATGCATGCTTAGGCAAGCATTCTACCACTGAGCTACATCCCTAACCCTCTCATTATATATTCTAAGCTGGGTGCTGTGGCAAACATCTGTAATCCCAGCAACCCCAGAAGCTTACCCAAGTTTAGTCCAGCTTTGGTAATTTAGTGACAGTATGTCTCAAAATAAAGAAGGATGGAGATATGGGGCTGAGATTTTGGCTCAGCATTAGAGCGCTCACCTAACACATGAGAGGCCCTGGGTTTGATCCTCAGTACCACATAAAAATAAATAAATAAAGTTATGTGTCCAGTTATAACCCCCCCCAAAAAAAAACTATTAAAAAATTTTTAAAAAAAGGATGGAGATGTAACTCAGATTCAAATCATTTCTGGGTTTGATCCTTAGGACCACACACACACATACAAAAATTAAGTTATATATTCTTTGTATAAATGACACTTCCTTATTTAAATTTATACTTCTTAAATTCAAGTCTTCTTGGCCATTTGATTACAAGTTTAAGATTAAAAATAAATCAGGTATAACAAATAGTCTGAATTTCATCTGAAAATACCTTTTTTTTAGAATTTTTACAGGTCTTTGTTTGTTTTATTAAGTATTTCTCAAAACTTAAATTAGGCCAAATATGTAAGTCTAATACAAATGGGTGCATTTGTTGTAATAAAAGAGATTTTTAAAAATCTGCTTTCCCTTCTTTTGTTAATAGACAAAACATGATGAGATAAAACAAATTAAAGGGTTAAAAAGACATGATGACCTGCTTGGGTTAATAACAAATGTACATATACAAATGAATGCATGATTTCTTTGTGGTTAGATCAGTAATATTTAGTACTCTAAAAATTTTTAAAATATACTAATGACATTAAAAAATGTAAATATCTATTGTTTTATTTTGCATTTTACATGAGTATATATAAATTCTTCTTAACACCTAGGAATCATCAGTATTTAGCCTTTTGGCAGGGTTTCTGTAATGTGAAATAATCTTCTACCCATATTTTCTATCAGAAGATTTAAAAATAAACTAGCAAACTTGATTTATCCAGAGAATAAACACTGAATTTCTATTTTAGTGGCTTCTAATTTTATTTGTAAATAGATATATTTCTTAGAACTCTCAACCATTGTTAATTTGTATCTAACATTTATAGAAATACTTTTTGAAAGGGATACATTTTGGAAATGTTCTCCTTAGATAAATGGCATAGTAGAAATCAGTGATCTGGGAGGCAAAACCAAAACAAACACCCAAACAAAACTAACAAACCCTTGGTTTTACTCTTCAGTGGTGTTAGAATCTTTCTTTGAAATTATTTATGTGTTTTGAACCTGATTCTTCCCCTTGCTGTCTGTTTAGATGTGATACCTTCTTGTATCAGGAAATATCCATAACAACATAGCACAGTAGAATCTTGACTCTGCCCCTTTAATAGATGGAATAGCTATTCTGGATCTTACTTACTAATCTATAACATGAATATAATGATAGTTTCTTTTTGGTGAAGATGAGTTTGTTTGTGCTCCATTGAAGTTTTACTTCATAATGATTATTATGCATATAATAATTATTATGTTACAATCATTCTAATTTTACTATTGAAGGCAATTATTATTACTAATCATTGCTTCATTATTATCATCAGTTATATGGATAGTGCCTGCATTTCCTTTAGAATTTCATATCTATTACCAAAACTGCATTATACTATTTTATTTTCAAATGTCTTCTAGTAGGGGAATTGTGAATTTGGGAGAGGGAGGAATTATGACATTTTTTAGTTTTACCTTCATGAAAAAACACTCAAGTTTTACACTTACCATTACTTTTGAAAATTTATATTAATAAGTTATAATCTTAGACAAAGAAGTAATTACTGTGTGCTGTCCCCAGGCTTAATAAATTTCTTAAAACTTCTAACTATTGCTGCAATTTTGATATTTTTTTAGTATTCAGTTATATGCCAGTTATTCCATTTTGCCATATATTTAGCTAAACCTCAAGTTAAAAATCTTCATGTATAATTCGTTATTCCAAGCAGAATGACTTAAAATTAGGCTTTAACAAACAGATGGTATAGTATGGCTAATGGTATTTACATTGCTTTCTTTTCTGAAAAGAAAAGAAAGTCACTCTACTTAAAATTTTAAAAACATTATTTTTAGGCTATTTGATGATTTATATGATAATTAGTAAAGAAGTTTCAAGGTTTTATGTTCACTTTATTTATATCTGATAAATGCAGTACATTTGATCTTTTACTTTTTCCCCCTCAGAAGAAATTATGTATTTTAAAATAGAATTGCTCCGGCTTGATATTATCTCCAAACTAATCATGTTCTCCTCTCATTATAGTTTAGAATTGGATCCTTTAATCTAGAGGAAGTAGAAAGCCCAGCTGAGGTCATCAGAGAACTTATTTGTTACTGCCTGGACACCATTGCTGAAAACCAAGCCAAAAATGAGCACCTGCAGAAAGAAAATGAAAGGTTTCTGAGAGATTGGAATGATGTTCAAGAACGGTGTGTACCCAATGTGCTTGCATTATAAAAACTTTGAGTTTCTTTAAATTATAGGTTTAAGTAATTATTTATAAATTTATAATATATGTACAATATCTTAGATGGAAAATAAAATCTGTCATTCATGATAGTTTTACTTAATAGTATTAAACCAAGGTCCTAATCACTATTGTGCATTATTGGTACATAAGAACAATTTTAGGTAATTTAGTGTTTGTTTGCACCACCAATCTTATAAAAAATAAGAAGTAATTGGACATTGATTATCTCAATCCATTATTGTAATATTGATTAAAAAATTTAGGTAGTGAGACTGAGGAGTAACTCCATAGTAGAGTATATACTCAAACATGGATAAGCCATGTTCAATCCCCAATTCCTTCAAAAAATACTAGTGGATATTTATAAGAAAAGATTAGTTCAGCTTAATTTATAGGATTAATAATGAATAAAAAGATCTGGAATATAAATAAGCACTGTCAATTCTCTATTTGGAATTAATAAATGGTAACTATTTTAAATGATGTTTTGATTCCTAGTAGAAACTTAATTCTCCTGATTTATTGAAAATTCATATTACACTATTCATAGTTTTTTAAAAGCTATTGAATAAAACACTCAGTAGTCTTTTATTTTCCTGGCCTTTTTTTCTTATTTTTTAATGATGATAAAAAGTTATATATTTTCTCAATTATTAACTTTTTCAACTAAATCTTAATCTAGGCTTAACTAGGGTATGACTTGTATTATTATACTGGGTAAAAGATGTTCGAAGGAAATAATATGTAAGTCATAAACACTTATATCCCTGAAGAGACATATATGATAGTCATATGTTTGTGTGTGTGTGTGTGTGTGTGTGTGGCAATGTCTGAAATAATCATGTGGTGTATATAAAATAATGATAAGAATCACTATGTAGAGTAGATTTTTAATCTTTCATTCAAGCTAATTGATCTAAAGGATAAGAACATGGTGTCTTATTTAGAGTTATTTTTAGGGCAGCTGTTGTGATTGTTCTATATGGACATTGTTCTATATGAGGCAACATGATATATAGCAAAGTGGTTTACAACTATTCATGTGTAAGTATATGAAAATGACAGTAAGTAAAATAAGTTATTTTTCTGTATATTCAATAATATTTACTATTCAATGCAATTCATGCAAAATTTAATTACAAATACTTGGTTATATTTTCCTTTTATTATACTAATCTGTCTTGCTCTCTTTTAGCCAAATTACCTTTTATCTCCACTTATTTATTTATATATAACTATATATAAATAATATAAAATATAATTTTATATAAATAACGGAAAAGTAATGGAGACCAATTCAATATTTATATATCAAGAAGCTATACAGAAAAGAAAATTTATCCTTATGTTCTGTTTTATTCATTTTGGTATAAGTCAGTATCAAATATCTGTCTCCAAAACATTTTTAATACCTGTATCTGTAGTTTGGGTGTGTTTTTCTATTTTATATGTGAAATGAATCAAATTAAAGGAGATGCACTGTGATTGTAACAAGCCATTATATTTTTATATTTAAAACTCAAATTACCCTCTGTATGATTGGAAATCTGATCCACAAATTGGCCACAAAAATGCTGGCTGGTTACTTAGTACTTGAACAAATTGCTTTAAAATGTCTGCCAGAGGTTGAAAGAGGTTATTATCTCATCAGTATTCAACACCACTCCCACAGAATTGAAAGCAGCAGGAAATGAAGATGAGGCAGTGGAGACAATTGCACCCTATGCTGTGAAACAGTATGTAAGGAGTACATATATTATGTGGACCACAGATGCTTGATTTGCTCTTCCTGAGCTATCCAGATTTTGCTTTTGTTCTACTAAGCAAGAGATTTTCTATTTGTTCAAAAGCACAGTCATGTATTGCTTTACCTGCCTTATTATGCTTGCTCCTGCTATCTTTTTTGTTATGGTAGTTTATACTGGATTAGATCTTCAGAAGCTGACAGTGTGTGCCATTTGGTTCAACTGGCAACCTGGGAGGAAAGAAAATCCACTCAGAATTCCAAGCTTTCATTTGTATATCAGATGTCAGATTAGACCTTTATGTATTTCCTGAATTTGGTTTTTCTCCTTTGAGAGGAGAAAGTGGCCTCTTTAAGGAGATTTAAGTAAATACATCTTGGTCATGCCCAAGACTCTTCTCTAGTCTTAGGATCCTGGAAAATGAGCAGAGGATTTACAGCTCCAGCTTCCATAAGGCAGTGGTGCTGACCTAGAGTCTTTAAAAGATTAGAAGTGGGATAGGAGCATACTAAGCTAGGTAACTTATATTAGGGACACAAAAAGTAGAGAATCATTAGAAATGGGGCCATGATATTAAGCCCAGCTACAGTTCAGTTTTAGGGCAGCCTCTGACTATTCTTTTGTCAGCTATCCATCTTGTTATCAACTATTTCTTCCCTTCCATATTACAGACTGCATGTGGAGGGGAGGAGGTGTTAGAAGGGGAAGAGGGGCAATCGTTTAATGCCTAGACTTTAACATATGTATTTACTATTATTTTTTAGTTACTATTTAATAATTGTCTTTGCTCCATTTTGAATGTTTGAACAAGTGGAATTACTGGATTTTTTTAGTTTATTAATAAAGGAGGAAAAATTAGACAACTTGAATCTTGAGCTTATTAGCTGTATTTAGTTCACTGGCTTTTCCTACTTAATTTCAAATAAGAACTTTCAAGTACCATGTTACTGAATAGGTTTTTGTTTGCTCTTAGAATTTAACTTAGAAATTCTGGCTTTATTCTGAGTTATAGTTATTAAACACATAATTGGAGGCAGTTTTCTGTGAATTGAGTTGACACTGTGGAATAATCACAATGGAAGACCTTGAAAGCTCTTCTACTTTGTCTCTTTGCCTTCAAGATAGAATCATATTATCTACAGATGAATTCAGTCAGATTTTTAAAGACCTCAAGAGATATCTTCCTGTCTCCTTGGTAGCCCTTTCCAGTGTTTAAAACACAGTCAGAAAATTTTTCCTTACATTTATTGGTAATCTGAATCTTTCATGGTATAGTTGAAGGCCATTTCCTCTAGTGCTATCATAAGAAAAGATGAGGAACAGCTGTTTACCATCTTCAGGGCTTAAAGCCTTTTAAAATCTTTACTACTGCTTTCTTTTCCAGCTCTTTTTAGCATCCTTTGTCCTTTAAACTCTATTCAGATTTTCTTTTTCTGTACAACCCTGAACTGCATATAAATTTGGCCAGGACTGATTGTTAATATGATGATAACAGTGTTTCTGTTCCAGATCTTCATATTCATGTATCTGTTGTTTGATTTTGAGCTATCATTTAATCTGTTGTTTTATTTTGTGTGTTGTTTTTACATGAAATTGCTTCATTTTTTGCTCTTATTTTCATTATTGTTTCAACATGTTTTTGTTCAATTGTTTTGCCACCCATAATTATTTGAATATTCAGCATTTTTCTTTATTTAGTTTTTTATCTTTTTTTATTTTTAAAAATTACTATTCTTTGGACTAAGACCATAGGTATACCTCAGTTCTAAGGGTACTAACAGCTTTATTATTCTGTTGTCATAGTAACTGTTGAAAGAATGAAGTGTCATTAGGCCTTTCCTGTTTGATATTATTATCTGGTATGACTTTGTCTTGGAGATGATCCTTAGACTGGTTACAGTCTGCTCCAGTTGTAATTGGGCTTACTTTTAGTGCTACTGGAATTAACAGTGAATCTTATGTCTCCACTTGACTAATACTTCCTACCCAGTTGTTAAGACAGAGGCTTGGCAGGGGCCAAGTAATATGAAAGTCACAGTAATATTGTAATGGCGCTAGAAGAGGACTGGCATTAAAATCAGGTGGACAGATGCTATGTGCATTTTACTTTCTAAATATTTAGAAATGGTTAGTGTTCTCCGAGTCTGTTGAGAAAGTAATAATGAAGAGTAAATTCACATCTTGCAGTTGCTTAAAATAATACTTTATTCTAGCCAACTGTTACTATCAGTTTTTGTGGAAAATGTTATCCAGTTTGAGCATTAGAAGTGTGTTTTTTAATAATTTATTTTAGTTGTAGTTGGAAACAATACCTTTATTTTTATTTGTTTTTATTTTTATGTGGTGCTGGGGATTGAACCCAGCGCCTCACACATGCTAGGTGAGCACTCTACCACTGAGCCACAACCTCAGCCCCCAAAAGTGTTTTTTTGAAACAAAAATATATCTTAAAGCTGTGCAAGCAGGGTTAACTCATTCCATTGACTTTGTTTCATTGTTACAGAAATGATGTCACTTTTGATAATGTAATTCTGGTACTGCTTATTTATATTAAAATGTTTTAATGAAAATTTTATGAAATTTCACTTTTATATTTATTTTTAATTTGAATGTCATACAAATATTAATTTAAATTAAACTTTAGAAATTAACTTGAAATTTATAAGTATACCCAATCTTTCCTGGCTATAATATTTGAAATGATATACATGGAAATTAAACATGGATTTAAATCATATAAGTTGCTAGTTGGTTGCTATTTCTAGAATTTTAAAAATGAAAATATAATATTATTTAAGGTTTTTATTGTTTATATATATTTTGGTTCTTAATTTGTATAAGTATTTCAAAGGTATGTATGTTCTATTGGCATTTTAAACAATTTTGTTATTATGTTACATTGGAAAATGTTACATAAAGATGAGAATATGCTTAGATAACCCTTTGCATTTGAAATATAGATACAGTAACATACTCCTTCTTAAAATAAGCCATGGACATTTTTGTATCTTTTCAATTTTGGCCCTAGTTTTTCCCCACATTTTTTGGCATACTTCTTTCTCAGAGATTTGATCGATCAATGAAATATTGTCATATTAATATTTCTTTTTATTTCATTCATTCATTTTTGTAGTACTGGGGACTGAACTCAAGAACACTCTACCACCAAGCTATGCCCTCCCAGCTCTTTTTTGTTTGTTTGTTTGTTTTTTGAGACAAAGTCTTACTAAGTCACCAAGACTGGCCTCAAACTCGATCCTGCAATCTTGATATCTTGAGTTACTGAAGTTATAGGAGTGTGCCATCATACCCAAATCTGGGTATGCACATAGGGTAATAATGCTCAGTTTATTATACTATCCTTTCTAACCCCTTCCCCTCCCTTTGCCCCTGACAAATACCCAGATCCTGTTATATTAATATTATTTACCACAGATTATTTTAAAAGCCAAAGAATATAAAAACTATTACTGTTAAAATGATGTATAGCTGTTAAATGAGTGAAAAAATATTATCCAGTCATGTACTCTATGTTACATAAATCAGCAGTGGGCCGCACATATGACAGTGGTGCCAGAAGATTGAAATAGGGTTACAAAATACCTGTTGCCTAATGAAGTTTTAGATGTCCTGAGATTGTAGCAGAATCCATTACTAATGTGTTTGGGGAGATGCTGGTAAAACCAATCCTGTGTTCCTAGTAGTTTAAGGTATAGCACATATGTTTTAGTCTGCTGTTTTTGTTTGTTTGTTTGTTTGTTTTTTTGGTCACTGTGACCAAAATACCTGACAAGAACAACAGAGGACGAAATGTTTATTTGAGACTTTCAGAAGTCTCAGTCCAAAAATGACTGACTGAGCTCTGGGCCCAAATTGAAGTAGAAAGAACATCATGGTGGAAGGGGATGATAGAGGAAAGTAGCTTAGGACATGACAACAGGAAGCAGAGAAAAAACACTGCTTAAAAGGGACAAAATATATATTTCAAATGTACACCTCCAGTGACCTAACAGCTCTAGCCACACCCTACCTGCCAAAGGTTACCATCGATTAATCCACTCAAATGGATTAATTAAGATGATTATGTTACAGCTTTCTTAGTCTAATCATTTCACCTCTGAAAATTCTTGCATTGTTTCAAACATGAACTTTTGGAGGACACCTCATATCTAAGCATAACAACATACAAATATGTATTGCATGTAATACTTGATAATGATAATAAACAACTATTTTGCTGGTTTATGTGTTTACTATCCTATACCTTTTTGTCATTATTTAAACTTTTCATTTCCTGCTCATAAAAAAATGCATATTGTGTTCCTCTAGTAGCAACTCTGTACATCTCTTGTTTTCTGTCTCTTGGTTGCATGAAGAGGCCACATCAAGTAATTGATATACCAGCTAGGTTTGTACAAAGTACCTTCTATAGTGTTTACCAACAACAAAATTGTCTAGTGATGCATTACTCAAAACAATGCATGACTGTGTTCAGAATAATTGGTTTTCCATTTCCTCATGAGATGTCCATATTAGCTCTTCACTCAGCTATTCCCTTTTGGGAGGATAGCCATAGGCAGTTGTGGTGCCCATCTAGAATGGCCTTATTATTATTATTTTTAAAAATTTGTTCTATTTAGTTATACATGACAGTAGAATGCATTTTGACACATCATACATAAAAGAAGTATAACTTCTCATTCTTCTGGTTGTACATAATGTAGAATAATAGTGGTCAGGCAGTCATATATGCACATAGGGTAATAATGCTCAGTTTATTCTACTATCCTTCCTAACTCTAAACCCCCTCCCCTCCCTTTGCCCCTGACAAATCCAAAGGACCTTTATTTTTCATACCAGCCCCTTATTGTGAATTAGCATCTGCATATCAGAGAAAACATTCAGCCTTTGGTTTTGGGTGATTGGCTTATTTCACTTAGCATGATATCCTCCCCTTCATCCATTTACCTGCAAATGCCATAATTTCATTATTCTTTATGTCTGAGTAATATTCATTGTATCGATATACAACACAATTTCTTTATCCATTCATCTATTGAAAGGCACCTAGGCTGGTAACATAGTTTAGCTATTATGAATTGAGTTGCTATAAACATGGATGTGTCACTAAAGTATGCTGATTTTAAGTCCTTTGGATATCAATCAAGGAGTGGGATAGCTAGGTCAAATGGTGGTTCCATTCCAAGTTTTCTGAGGAATCTTTATACTGGTCTTCAGAGTGGTTATACTAATTTACAGTCCCACCAGCAATGTATGAGTGTTCCTTTTTTCCCACATCCTCGCTGACTTTTATTATTGCTTACATATTTGATAATTGCCATTCTGACTAGAGTAAGATGAAATCATAGAGTATTTTTGATTTGTATTTCTCTAATTGCTAGAGATGTTGAAAAATTTTTAATATATTTTTTGATCATTTGTATTTCTTCTTGCAAATCAATCTAACAAAGAGGTGAAAGACCTATACAATGAAAACTATAGAACACTAAAAACAGAAATTGAAGAAGACCTTAGAAGATGGAAAGATCTCCCATGATCTTGGATAGGAAGAAGTAATTTGTCAAAATGGCCATATTATCAAAAGCATTATACAGATTTAATGCAATTTCTATTAAAATCCCAATGATATTCTTCATGGAACTAGAAAAAGCAATCATGAAATTCATCTGGAAAAAGAAGAGACCCAGAATAGCTAAAGTAATCCTTAGCAAGAAGAGTGAAACAGGAGGCATCAGAATACCAGACCTTAAACTATACAATAGAACCATAGTAACAAAAATGGCATGGCATTGACACCAAAACAGACACATAGACCAATGGTACAGAATAGACGACACAAAGACAAACCCATATAAATACAGTAATCTAATACTAGACAAAGGGATCAAAAACATATGTGGGAGAAAAGATAACTTCTTCAACAAATGGTACTCGGAAGACTGGAAATCCATATGTACCAAAATAAAATTAAACCCTTATCTCTTACCCTGCATGAAACTCAAAGTGGATCAAAGACTTAGGCACTAGAACAGAAGAAAAAGTAGGCCCAAATCTTCACCATATTGGCTTAGGAACTGAATTTCCTTAACAAGACTCCTAAAACTCAAAAAGTAAAATCTAGAATGGCATTATTTTAAATTTTCATTTTTATAAGGACTGGCAATGAACTGAGGCCATCTGGTTAAACCTGCTACCAGGAAGATCTACAGGTACAAGATCTATTAATCAAAAGCACATAGCATGGCTCTATATCCTGCACCTGGACCAATAGATATCATAGTATGATGCTCCACTGTAAAATATTAGAACAAAGAACAAACTGGAAGTCATTTTAGTTTGTTTGGAAGAGTTAAGGGTGGAGGCATGCACAAGAAAATGGCACAGAACAGAGTCCATGTAGGCCAATGTTCAGTGTCTGATCTGCATGGATCTTCATGGAAAAAAGCCTCAAGGAACTGCAGAATGGAATGTTGGAAAATAAAAATAATGTACTCTTTGAGACATTTAATAAATCAGAAGTAAAGCTAGAAAAAATATAAGCATATTAACTCCCTTGCTTTATTCATTTATCCAATAAATACCTACTAAACATCTGTCAAATTCCAAATACTCTCTTAGGTAGTAAGGATGAACTACACAGTAAAACACATGCTCTTTGGAATTCACAGCAAAACTTTGCTATAAGAATTTGCTGTAATTGATTCCAGAGATATATTGTCATATGTTCCTTTCATCCTGTGAGAAATTTTCTCCATCTCTAAATAAGTAGATTGTAAAAGCATTAAGGTCAAATAGGAAAAGTATCACATTTTGACATGTTTGTTTCTAGTTATTTCATTGTAATGTATATGTGTACACCCATATGTATATATTGCCTCTGATATACACATATATAATATGTAAATGCTAGGATGTCTATATGACCATCAGAATTATATATAAGCAGTATAGTAAGAGAATATCAGGCAGAACTAGACTACATTTAAAAGAATATTTAAAAAATTTATTTTAGTTGTATGTAGATGGACACAATAACTTTATTCTAAGTATTTATTTTTTATGTGGTACTGAGGATTGAATCCAGGGCCTCACATGTGCTAGGCAAGCTAGACCTCTGAGCTACAACCCCAGCCCAGAAAGAATTTTTTTTTTTTTTTTTTTTGTGGTGCGGGAATTAAACCTAGAGCCTTGTGCATTGCATGTGAGGCAAGCACTCTGTAAACTGAGCTATAGCCACAGCCCTTAAGAGAATATTTTATGTGAAATCACTTATATTTAAATCTTATAGAGTTAAAAGATTTTATATGTGTCCACATGAAGCAAGTGTATACAACTTCTCTAGTTTGCATTCTCTACCTTATATCTCATGTGAAGTTTAAATATAATCCCTTATTGGTTCATTTGAGCATTATATGAAGAATTATAAATAATGGAGAATTTTATAAGTTTTATAGAACATATTTAAGATATTTGTTGTTTTATTAATATCTCCGTGGAAATATCAAGTAGTTTATGTTTATTCTCTATATATATGTTTGTGTATATGTGTTTTTATGTATATTTGTTAAGTGTGTATGGTGCTGGGTTTTAAGGGTATAACTTGACAAGTCATTCTGTGGAGCAGTTCATAGTCTATAGTGCAGTCATATATATTGGGTATATTGCTTTATCACAAACAAGATCATATGGTTGGTATTAAGATAATATTAGCAAAGTATTAGGGAAACAGATTACATTTGCTTATTTGAAATTTCTTCCATGAAACATTCTTTTGTATATAAACCATAGATTTGAATAAGTTTATATTTAGGCATCCAGATTTTTAAAGCTTTTTTCTATAAGCTTTCAATTTTGATCTTTACCTCAGTATATAAATTACAGATATTAAAAACTAATAATTTCTAATTATTTATTTAAGTAAATATAATTTCCAAGACAATGAAAGCATATGTAAAAATGATTTTTAATTTTTATTTTTCTTGAAGAGTTTTCTTGATATTTTCAGTATTAGTATGAATAGCATTGCTAAGAAAAATTGTATGATTAATTTAATTTTTTAGGTTTGAAAAATGTGTGAGTGCCAAAGAAGCCTTGGAGACTGATCTCTATAAACGGTTTATTCTGGTGTTGAATGAGAAGAAAACAAAGATCAGAAGCTTACACAATTTATTAAAAGAAGTTCAAGAATTGGAAAAGAATGCTGAAGATGAAAGGTATAGCATTTCTGCTTTTGGATGGTAGACAAGTAAATTTAAGTAGTACTTTTACACTAATGATGTTTTGGAAATGTAAGATCATTTGATAATCTGGGTTTGGACTGCTAGGGCAAGGATGTTGGCTTAGAGAATTCTTACCATGATTCTTCTGTGCCTACCTTCTGTCTTATCTACACTTAACTTATAAAACTGGCATAAGTCTTAACGTTATTAATTTAATTTAATTTATTTGTTTAATGTTTTTTTATTTTTTAGACATCATTAAGGAAGAATTTAAAAATCTTTTCATCTCCTTCAAGGACTCCAGAATTTGATTTACATTTGAAATTTTTTTTTATTAAATTTTTTTTTTGGTACTGTGGATTGAACCCAAGATCACTCAACCAGTGAACCCATCCTCAGCCTTTTTTTATTTTATATTTTTGAGACAGGGTCTGGCTAAGTTGTTTAGAGTCTCACTAAGTTGCTGAAGCTAGACATGAATTTGGGATTCTCCTGCCTCAGCCTCCCAAGCAGCTGGGATTATAGGCGGGCACCACCATGCCTTGTTAATGCACATTTGTAATCTTGAGGTCTAATCATTGGTTAACTCTAGAATCAAATGTTTAATTTATGTTATCTGATTAGAGTGTGATCCTCTCTGTCATAATTCTGTCAAGTTTTCTCTGCGAGTGAATGTATACTTGATTTTCTAAGGAGAAAAAATCAGATGGTTAGTATGACAAATGGTTAGTATGGCTTTGAAAATTTTTTTTAAACATTAGAAGATATCTATTTCCCTGAACTGGAAAGAAAGCATAGTTATACCAATAACATGTTATAATAAAGATAACTTTTGATGTCAATTGATCCTAATTCAGATACTGATCTTATAATAATATCTGTAGTGTATTATATTGGCATATCATTTAATCTCTCTTTTCACTTTTGGGACAAACTAAGGATGAAGAACTGGTTTAGGTTATTAGAATGCTAAATACATTGTGACCCACAGAAATATTCTTATAGAATAGTATTTTGATAGAATGATAATAAGTGATAAGATACTAATTTATGAATTAATTATAGTGAACATTAAATAATATTCAGATTGTTAACTAAAAGAACCTATTCTTAAATAAGTTATTATATAGTCTTTGAAGTGATTTCATCTAAATCATATATGCATATTTTTTCATTGTCTTATTAAAGAATCTTTTTCCAGAAATATTTTCTAAAATTACTTAACTGGCAAATTTGATACCTAGATGGTTGAATCAGTGACTTAATTCTTGCTTCTTTGTTTCTAGGGAAAACAAAGAAATAACTGCTGACCAAGGTGCAATCTATGATGAAAGCACTGATGAGGAAAGTGGACACATGTCTGAATCCTCTGTATTGGCTCAAGGTAAGAGCAATAGTTTATTTCCTTTGTTAAATATCTCACCAAGGCTTATTACTCTAGTGAAAAGTGTTATAAAAATTTTTCCACAAAAATTCTCTACAGTTTTTATATACTACTCCAAATACTTAATGTTAAAAATTAGCATTTATTATAAAATACTGCAGTTCATTATCAACGAGGCAAAATGAGCATACATACCCCCACACACAAAGGTTAAATTGGGTTAAATGGATGCATAGGCAGTGAGGATGATGTACCTTCATGCTAAATATCACCAGCTCAGAGCTGGTTGCCCTCAACATTTGAGGTCTTATCTGGCAAAGGCTATGGATAGGGCAGGGTGATTCTGAATGTTTTAGATTATCCTAAGGTTGTGGCATTCTGTCATTCTTCAGAAAAAGGTTTGTTATGATATAAAAGGTATAGAGGAGAAAGAAAGGAAAACGTCAGTTCAGTGTGAAATACTTGAATCTACCTTACTTAGTCCTGTAGATCAAGTACACAGCAGGTGTTGTAACCCATGGATTACTTTCCTAGATTCTATAAATTTCTGAGGGGCAGTGGAAATCTGAGCCCCTGAATTCATTTAATACTTAGAAGCTTTTGACCTAAACCTAATGTTATAAAAAACAAATGTTTTATTCATTCGTTTAGGAAATACTTTTGAGTGCCTCTTATGCATCAGAAGCTTTTCTGGGCAATAGACAGCAAAACACAAAATTCTGTGCCATTGTGGAATTTAAATTCTAGTCAGAGAAACAGATAATAATAAGATGAGTAAACTAAATATAAAGTATAAGCTATGTTAAGTGAAAGAGAAAAATAAAACAAGGAAGGATGATAGAAATGCCAGGATTGGGAGTAGATAAAGAAATTATGATTTTAGCCAGGGAACTAGGAAGGCCTGAGGGATAAGGTGCCAAGTCTATCTAGGGGAAGAGCATGCTGGACAGAAAAACCACTTATGTACAGAGGCCTTGATGTCTTTAAGCCACAACATGGGAGGTTAGTAAGAGTTGAAAAATGAAGATTGGGAATTGGGAGAGGAGTTCAGAGAGATAATGGGCCGCATTTTATGTAGAGTGTTGTATGCCATTTTAAAGACTTCAGCTTTTACCTTACATAAATTAGAAACTATTGGAGCATTTTAAACAGTCAAGTGGCATAATTAGACTTACATTTTAACAGGATTAGTTTGGCTATTATATTGGTTACAGACTATAGGATGGCAAGTACAGAAGAAGTTATAACAGGAAGCTAGTTCAACAATTGGGTGAAGAATGAGCGATAGTGAATATAATGAGCAATGAGTAGACTGCAGATATGTTTACAAGAAGCACGATTTGCTGAAATAGTTATGGCAAAAGGAGAGTGAGCAAAGAAGACTAAAATAGAAAGGGGGCAGCCAGGAAATTACAGGCAACTCTGTAGATATGCTATCCTGGAAGCGATATTCATAAAGGAAGTATTTGAAGTGATAAATGTGAAACAGCTGAGTTGAATGCTGCTACAAACGGGGGAAAAGATGAGAACTGAGGACTTATTGACAGGTTCAACAATATAAACTTTATTAGACCTTAGTATAATATTTTCAGTGGGAGGTTGGAAGAGAAGAGCAAGAAGGATATTCAAAGGGAGGAGAGAATTGGGGATGAGACCACATAAATATAGGCAACACTTTAGCAGGTTTCACAAAGAAAAGAAATGATACGGGGCAGAGTTGAGGGGAAACTAGGTGAAGAGGTTTTGGTTTTTTTTTTTTTTTAAGATGAAAGAAAATGTATACTGATACGAGAGAGGGAAATAAACATCAACTCATAGACAGAAAGAAGAGCTGAAATACTGTCTTTAAGTAGATATGACAGAATTCAATGCACAACTAGTGGATTAGTTTAGCTAGGAGCTTGGGCACTTCTCATAGTGACAGTAGAGAATGTAAAATTAATGGACACTGAGGAAGGTAACTAATGGAAGTCATGGAAACTTTCTGAGGTTTAGACTAGTTGATTGATTAATCTGACTCTAGACAAATTAGATTTGAATCACACAATCACATGTTTACACTTGGGAATTAAATTTCTTCTCATTTGGAGGCAATGCTTTTTTTCATTTTGCCCCATTTAAAATGAAATCATGTAATCTCACAATGCTCACAAAGAAAATCCAGACTCTCTTCTCTTATTTAAACTTGGAGAATTTTTATTAAATATAATTACATTTGATATTGCTCTTATTTAGTGTATCCCACCAACATTTAAAGTAGGTCAAAATTATTGTTGAATAGGAAATTTGTGGTTAGATATGGGTCTATGAGAATGAGGTCTTTTATTAAGTAAAATTTTAAGGTAAATTGTACTATTTTAAATTTGGCAAAATTTCTCTCTTCGTTTATTCTGTATTTTTCCTATATTTTAGGTGTCATTATTTCTTTAATTCATTTTTAGATTATTTAATATCAGATATATAAGTCTCTGGTTCTATTTTTTTGTTTTTGCTTTTACTTTTTTGGGGTACTTTTTTGATGTCAGAGGGTTAAAGCATTTTTATTACAAGTTTTATCTATTACATCTGCATAAGTAAAAAAAAGTCAGGAAGTTGATATTCATTAAGATGAAAAATAAGTAGGTCTGAAATGTTTGATAATTAAGAACTAGAGTCCATAGATCTTAGAAAGAGCATTATGTATGTTAAATAACGAGATGGGCCTCCTTGTGATTTACCAGTTTCTACAATTAATTCTTTCATGTAAACAAAATATATTTTTAGTCCATTATATATTAACTTTTTGAGCACAGCTTTCTCTTTGTGGTTTTTTCTATAGTATTACTATGTGAGTGTAATACTATATGTACTACATAGTAATACTGCATAATATGGTATCTATGTGAGAGCAGGAGTGTTTTTTCTAAACTTATTTTACCATCTTTCATAATAAATTGCTTTTTCTTTGAAAATAAGCAAAATTGTGGGTGTATTTTTTTTATTTTATTTTTTTTTAAAGAGAGAGAGA